AGAAAAAATTGTCAAGGTCCTCTTATTGCATTCCAAAGCCATAGGAATAATTTCATACATAGTCGTGCAGAGAAATGACCTTACGCAGAAAGACGTATATATACGTCAGGGGAAATTAACGCCTTGACTAAGCTAGATGTTTATATACGCCGGTGGGGTCCTTAAGAGGTTAAGGTCGTATCGTAGTTTTAGTGTCTAAGTACAGTATTATTGAATTCAATACATTTTTATTGTATCAGGGGGGCGATGAAAATTATGATTAAATATTGGTTCGCGAATATTGAAACTTTGATAAAGCACTGGGTTAACAAATACAAATATTTATAGTTGTAATTAATTGAGTGTTTCATTTTTAGAAAATGATTATACTTCTAAGGATGTATGGTTGCCTACAATCACATATATATTTCAATATATTAATTTTAAAATAAATTAAATTTACGTTTACCTTAAGTAACGGAATAAATTCTTAAGAAGTGGACTAAAATCTGCAATTTAAATAAAAATAATCTGTAACAGATTAGTCTAAAATTCTTAGTTTTGAAAGAAATCTGAATTAAAATGCTATACATTTTACCAAAACTTGTCACTACTGGAATAATTCTAGGAAAAATAATTTAGCCTTCCACATACATGACAAAACTACCTGATATGAGCAGAAACGTTATATTTACAATAAGAATAACTGATTCTGTATATTTTCTAAAAAGTTCATATTTTTGGAAAATTATTATTTGTTAAAATGTAAAGTTTACTAAAGATTTTTAACGGGTTTTAATATTTACATATATGTATTGAATAAGGAAACACATGCTAATTTTAACAGTTGTATTCCATTAAGTGTTGTCACCTCCGTACATCATTACTGAAATGATTTTAATCATAATTTCTGCGTATCCATTGGGCTTCGCAACAAGCATTAGAATGCCGACAGTATTCATCTCCCGCAATGTGTTAAGTTAATTAATTTAGTTCCTGCAAACTCTAATAACCCGGAATCTTAGTCTAGCTTACAAGATTTACTGCGAATGATAATTTATGACTTTCATTGCTAAAATACCTTTCTTAGCGATTGGAAGGATTAGGTACGAATGGCATGGCTAAGCAACAAAATTGAGCGTAAATTGGATAGAGTAGATTATTAGGATCGAATTCTTAAGAGTTCTACCTCTTGGGTATTTCGGTGAGATATTTTGTCTTTTTTTTCATTTTAAGACTGCACACTGTAAAACTTACACGAATATTCCTTTTTGTAACATTTTCAGATATTTTTTTCTGTTGGTAATTTTACGATTCATAAAATATCACATTTTCTGTTCAAAAAATTCGTATAGGTAACTTTGAAAAATTTAATTTTGTATACATTTTAAATTTTTAGAAATTTAAGAAAACACTTTCGTTATATTTAAAAAAACTCACTTTGCTTTAGCTACCCAAAATTCGCCATTTTGGTGAAAATTTTTGAAATTTCTTTTATGTTTTTGTTTTGAAACCCATACATTTCATATTCGAAAAACACTCTATATTTGTTTCTGCGATATT